CTCAGAGGTGGCAGCTGTGCACACACACCATTTAGAAGTAGTGTATGGGTAGAGGGAGCCAAGTTCAGTAGGCTCTCAGATACATGACAGGTGAGCAGCTGTAGTATGTATTTGTTTGTTTATTTAGAGCAGGAGTCAGGAGTGAATGTTTGTTAAAAAGCTTTCTTGAGCAGGAAGGAAAAGTGGTCAAGTACACTTGGAAGAGGGCCAGGCCAAGCAGGTGACTTGAGAGATCAGGTGCCAGTTTCCTTTTAAAATGTAGTGATTGACAGGTGTTTGAACTTGGAAAGTTTAACACCAGCAGTGAATGCCACGAAATATGATGTGTTTCAGATCTTTGGTCTAAGTATACTTTAGTTATTTATTTATTTTGAAAGGGAGTCCCACTCTTTCGCCCGGAGTTGGAGTGCAATGGTGGGGTCTTGACTCACTGCAGCCTCTGCCTCTCAAGTCCAAGAGATCCTCCTGCCTCAGCCTCCTGAGTAGCTGGGATTACAGCTGTGTGCCAGTACCCCTGGCTGATTTTTGTATTTTTAGTAGAAATGGAGTTTTACCACGTTGACTAGGCTGGTCTTGAACTCCTGACCTCAGGTTATCTTCTTGCCTCAGCCTCCCAAAGTGCCGGGATGACAGACATGAGCCATCGTGCCCGGCCTAGGTGGATTTTAAACAGCTCTTTTGGTCTCGGCCACGTTTTGGTGTGGATACACTCATGTCCTGAACTGTTGCTGCATATTGTGGATCCTGTGGCCACCGCCACCGCCATTGTCTTCCTCTTCCTCCTCCTCCTCCTCCTTCTTTCTTCTTCTTCCTTTCTTCTCCTCCTCCTCCTCTTCTCCTTCCTTTCCTTCTTCTTCTTCCTTCCTCTTCCTTCCTTCCTTCCTTCTTTCTTCTTCTTCCTTCTTTTCTTCCTTCTTCTTTTTCCTTCTTCTTCCTTCTTCTTCCTTCCTTCCTTCTTTCTTCTTCCTCCTCCTTCCTCCTCCTTCCTTCCTTCCTTCTTCCTTCTTCTTTCTTCCTTCTTCTTTTTCCTTCTTCTTCCTTCTCCTTCTTTTTCCTTCTTCCTTCCTTCTTTCTTCTTCTTTCTTCTTCTTCCTTCCTTCTTTCTTCTTCCTTCTTCTTCCTCCTTCCTTCTTCTTCCTTCCTCCTTCTTCCTTCTTCTTCCTTCCTTCCTTCCTTCTTCTTCTTCTTCCTTCTTTCTTCTTCTTTCTTCTTCTTCCTTCTTCTTTCTTCTTCTTCCTTCCTCCTTTCTTCCTTCTTCTTCTTTCTTCTTCCTCCTTCCTCCTTCTTCCTCCTTCCTTCTCCTTCCTTCCTTCCTTCTTCTTCCTTCTTTCTTCTTCTTCCTTCTTCTTTCTTTTTCCTTCTTCCTTCTTCCTTCTTTCTTCCTCCTTCTTCTTCCTTCTTCTTCCTCCTTCCTCCTTCCTCCTTCTTCCTTCTTTCTTCTTCTTCCTTCTTTCTTCTTCTTCTTCCTTCTTTCTTCTTCCTTCTTCTTCCTTTCTTTCTTCTTCTTTCTTCCTTTCTTCTTTCCTTCCTTCCTTCCTTCCTTCTCCTCCTCCTCCTCCTCCTTCTCCTCCTTCCTTCCTTCCTTCCTTCCTCCCTCCCTCCCTCCCTCCCTCCCTCCCTCTTTCCTCCTTCCTCCTCCTCTCTTTTTCTTTCTTCTTTCTTCTTTCTTCTTTTGAGACAGAGTATCAGTCTGTCACCCAGGCTGGAGTACCGTGGCGCAACCTCTGCCTCCTGAGTTCAGGCGATTCTCCTGCCTCAGCCTCTCGAGTAGCTGGGATTACAGGCACCTGACAACATGCCCACTTAATTTTTGTATTTTTAGTGGAGACAGGGTTTCACCCTGTTAGCCGAGATGGTCATCTCCTGACCCCGTGATCCGCATGCCTCAGCCTCCCAGAGTGCTGGGATCACAGGCCTGAGCCACCGTGCCTGGCCCTTCTTGTTTTTGTTTTCGTTTTTTCTTTTTCTTTTCTTCTTTTTTTTGGGGGTGGGGGGGAGACAGAGTCTCGCACAGGCTGGAGTACAGTGGTGCAATCTTGGCTCACTGCAACCTCTGCCTCCTGGTTCAAGCGATTCTCCTGCCTCAGCCTCCCACGTACCTTGGACTTCAGGCATGCTCCACCACACCAGGCTAATTTTTGTATTTTTTGTAGAGATGGGGCTTCACCATGTTAGCCAGGATGGTCTCCATCACCTGATCTTGTGATCCACCCATCTCAGCCACCCAAAGTGCTGGGATTACAGGTGTGAGCCACCGCACCCAGCTGCCCGTCTTGTTTTTTAGGGGAAGAGGCCTCACTATGTTGCATAGGCTGACTCTGAGCTCCTGGGCTCAAGCGATTCCATACCTGGCTTTGTGATGCGGCTTGAAGCATTTTGGTGTCTTGTTTTACCAATTCTTTTTCTTTTTCCTTTGTTTCCTTTGGTTTCGATATCAGTGGTCTGTTTCTCTCTTGATCTTAGTTGATTCAGTTAATAATTTGTAAGGATGTAAAATAAAATAGATCTTTATACACAAAAAGATCAGTGTCCTAAATATATTATTTACAGACCAGGTCAGGCACAGTGGTTCACATGTAATTTCAGCACTTGGGGAGGCTGAGGCGGGTGGATCACTTGAGCCCAGGAGTTTGAGACCAGCCTGGGAAACAGAACCGGACACGGTGGCCTGTGCGTCTAGTCCCAGCTACTCAGGAATTGATGCAGGAGGGTCCCTTGAGCTTGGGAGCTTGCACCTGCAGCGGGTCAGTGATTGTGCCACTGCACTCTAGCCCGGGTCACAGGGGTCTTTGTTGCCCAGGCTGGTCTCGAATTCGGGGACTCAAGCAGTCTCCCTCCTGAGCCTCCCAAAGTGCTAGGATGTGAGCCGCTCTGCCCAGCCTTCACACATTTTCTTCTGGTGGGAGGTGAACAAGAAAAAAAAAAGCTTATTTTTTTTCAGTGTCTATAAAGAGCAGCTTTGACAGAGAAGCTTTTTCAGCTTTCTTAGTGGGTATGTTTTGAAGGCCAGAACTGCTGGCCCTGGTGGATGGACTCCCATATTTCTGGCCTGAGCACCTGAGGGCTGCCTGTTACTGCTGAGGAGAGTCTTGGGAGAGGAGCTTGGGCTGGGAGTCTTGTTTGAGTTCCCCCAGTGAGGTGGGAATTTTGGAGCCATTTGGGTATGTGTAGAGTTCAGGGTTAGCCAGCAGGGAGCGTCAAGGGAGAAGCTGGAGTCGAGGCCTGGAGCATTGAACACGGCGCGGTAAGGAGCGGGGCTCCAGTAGGGGATTGAAAAGGAGCACTGCGAAGCAGGAACCAAGAGTGTGGTGCCCTGATCACCCAGGAGGCAGTTGTTCTGTGAGGTTCTGCTCTGTCCACCGAGACGGCGGGGAGGACTGGTCGTCCTGCGTGTGCCTCACGGGAAAGAGAAGGGCGAGGGAGCCAGCACCAGCGAGGCAAACAGCGAGTGTTGAAGCCTTTGGTGTTGCCCTTCCTGACCCCAGCAAGAGTGTTGGGCAGCGTCTCCTTGGAGATGTCCCTGCAGTGGGAGGGCCATGGCGTAGCCTCTGCCCTCCACAGGCTGGACTCTTCTCGGGCAGCTGCCCAGTAGGTTGGGTGGTGGTCGGCGCCTTCCCCTGTGGCAGGGGTTCCCGCACCGGGTGCACAGATGTGAGCTGGGCTGAGTGTGGCCGGCCGCTTGTTTGACAAATAGGCTGCTGTTTAACTGGGTTCATGGTGAGACTCAGGCTATGGACTGTTTTTAAATTTTATTCTTGGGAGGTATTTGGCTTGCGTGACCTTTGTTTGATTATGTGTTACTTGAGCCAAGTTAAGGAAGCTGCGTGAAGCATGAACCAGAGTTTTAGACTGCAGACCGTCTCCCCTGTAGCTTAACGTCTCTGGCTCTCTGCTTGCCAGAGCCAGCAGGGAAAAGGGTGATAGGATTTTTATTTAAGCAAAAGGAATTATTTTCCTTCCTTAAGTAAGAAAACTGCCACAAAGTTACTGCTTTGTGGCCCGGATACATTTGTATGTTTATTTTGAAAGCGAAATACTCACTAGGTAGTATTTGAATTTTAAGTCTGCTGTGAGACCTAAAGCATATTTGTGCACTTATTTTGTTTTTGATTATTTATTTATTTTGAGATGGAGGCTGGCTGTGTCACCCGGGCTGGAGTGCAGTAACGTACTTGTGGCTCACCGCAACCTCCGCCTGCCAGGTTAGAGTGATTCTCCTGCTTCAGCTCCCTGAGTAGCTGGGACTGCAGGCGAGCGGCACCACGCCTGGCTAATTTTTGTATTAACAGTAGAGACGGGGTTTCACCATGTTGGTTAGGCTGGTCTCGAACTTCTGACCTTGTGATCCGCCTGCCTTGGCCTCTCAAAGTGCTGGAATTGCAGGTATGAGCCACCCAGCCTCGTGCACTTATTTTAAAAGGAGTCAGGTAGATTAAGTAGTATTTGAGTCTTTTTGAGACTATGCCTTTTTTTTTTTTAATCAGAGGAGACAGGGCCTCTTGCCCAGACTTAAGTGCAGTGGCGCCATCACAGCTCACTGCAGCCTCGACCTCCCGGGCTCAAACAGTCCTGCCTCAGCCTCCTGAGAGTCTGGGACCACAGGCACGCACCACCATGCCCGGCTAATTTTTTTGTAGAGTTGGAGTCTTGCTGTGTTGCCCAGGCTGGTCTTGACCTCCTGGACCCAAGTGAGCTCCGTGCCTCAGCCTCCCAAAGTGCTGGGATCACAGGCATGAGCTACGATACCTGGCCTAGTCTGTGTTTTTAATTTTTCTGTCTGGCTGGTCCGAATAGTGTTCTTACTGGTGTTTTAAAGTCATGAAACACCTTAGTTGTGAGTTTTGTTTGTAAATGACTTGAAATAACACAGTGAGCTGAGCTTGGAAGTGTTGTGTACACATCCTCAGCTGCTCCAGCGTTGTGGGAGATACTTGGGGACTCTGCTCCTGCTCTTGCAGGGACAGCAAAAGGGTGCTGATTGTGGGCTTTTTTTTTTCCAGGTGTACATTCAGGTTCCCGAGCACAAACATCAAGATAACGTTCACTGCCCTGTCCAGCGAGAAGAGGGAGAAGCAAGAGGCGTCAGAGTCTCCGGTGAAGGCCGTGCAGCCGCACATCTCACCCCTGACCATCAACATTCCAGACACCATGGCCCATCTCATCAGCCCTCTGCCCTCCCCTACAGGAACCATCAGGTGCGGCAGTGGGGATGGGGGCACTGGAGCATCCTCAGTCGCAGCGGCAGACCCAGAGCGACGCCTTTCCCTGTCCCTGGCGCTAACTTACGTGGGAAGAGATGCGAAGTGGTGCCTAAAATACCGTTGATTTCTGCCCCGAGCTTCCTGCATTCTGAAATGTGGCTCCCAAGTGATCCTGGTTTTTAGTTACTCATTTTTGTTTTGAGACAGAGCCTCACTCTGCTGCCCAGGCTGGAGGGCAGCGATGTGGTCTTGGCTCCCTGCAGCCTCTGCCCCAGGTTCAGGCAGTTCTCCTGCCTCAGCCACCCTAGTACCTGGGATTACAGGTGCCCGACACCTGTAATTTTAATAGAGATGGGGTTTTACCATGTTGGTAAGGCTGGTCTTGAACTCCTGACCTCAAGTGATCTGCCTGCGTTGGCCTCCCAAAGTGCTGGGATTGCAGGCGTAGGCCATTGTGCTGGTCTCTACTCATTCTTTAAAAGATTTGTGTTTTTTTTAAATCATACTTTAGGTTCTGGGGTACATGTGCAGTTCATGCAGGATTACTGCATAGGTACATATATGGCAAGGTGGTTTGCTGCCTTCATCCCCCTATCACCTATATCTGGCATTTCTCCCCATGTTATCCCTCCCCATTCCCCATTGTCCTTCCCATAGCCCCTCCCCCAACAGAACCCAGTGTGTGATGCACCCCTCCCTGTGTCCATGTGTTCTCATTGTTCAACACCCGCCTTTGAGTGAGAACATTCAGTGTTTGATTTTCTGTTCTTGTGTCAGTTTGCTGAGAATGATGGATTCATCTGTGTCTCTACAAAGGACACGAACTCGTTTTTTATGGCTGCATAGTATTTCATGGTGTGTATGTGCCACATTTTCTTTGTCCAGTCTGTCATTGATGGGCATTTGGGTTGGTTCCAGGTCTTTGCTGTTGTAAACAGTGCCACAGTGAACATACGTGTGCATGTGTCTTTATAATAGAACGATTTATAATCCTTTGGGTATATACCCAGTAATGGGACTGCTGGGTCAAATGGAATTTCTATTTCTAGATCCTTGGGGAATTGCCACACTGTCTACAACAATGGTGGAACTAATTTACACTCCCACCAACAGTGTAAAAGTGTTTGTTTCTCCACATCCTCTCCAGCGTTTGTTGTTTCCTGATTTTATAATGATCGCTATTCTTTTTTTCCTTTTTATTTTCACCACTATACTAACGAGGATAATGATCGCCATTCTAACTGGCATGAGATGGTATCTCAATGTGGTTTTGATTTGCATTTCTCTAATGACCAGTGATGATGAGCATTTTTTCATATGTTTGTTGGCCTCATGTATGTCTTCCTTTGAAAAGTGTCTGTTCATATCCTTCACCCACTTTTGAGTGGGTTTGTTTTTTTCTTGTAAATCTGTTTTAGTTCAAAAAGATGTTTTTAGAGGTTTTTTTTTT